TCATTTCGTTTGCAATCTGGACAGCCTTGCCAGCCAGCTGCAAACATTGTGCGGACATTCCATATCTCCATTCTTACTTTCGCTTTCATCGAGAGAAGAGAAAACACATCGACCAATTGGCTTCCCGAAGGTTTTCACCAATCTGCGTTATTTCGTCCCCCCGATTCCAGGGAGGAATAAGTTTATTTTCTATATTTTCTCAGTGCTTTGAAGTTTCTTTAGGGAGTGGATTATTTTCACGGGGTAGGGTTGCTAGCCCTATTCCCAACCTTCCCTCTTTATCCAGGCTTAGGACTGTCTAGTAAACTAGGCGAGGTTAGGGGCGTATACTGTAGCCTTACAATAGGAAAAAGCGGACTGTTGTGTATTACACTCATCTTTTTTATATGTAGTTAAATATCTCACTGATACCATAAATGATATATGTTGGCAAATACCAAATGGATCTCTTTTTATCCTGACTGACATTCTGTCGACAACCAACCAACAGTTGGAAATACCACCTAACGATTTGGCCTGCAGCCAGACAGAGATGGCATAACCCTTTTGAATTCTACAGGAGTCGTAACGTTATAAATATCATGAGCACCGAAATTTACAAACTTTTTATGGTAGTTATCAGCCAACAACACGACGGAAATCTTCCACCTCACTGATGTAACTTAATTAATATCGTATTTGCTATACTTCTGAAATTGCAGAACAATATAGTAAGACAAAGTGAATGATGTTGATAACGCATCAAACGAAAAATTCTGCAGATATCTATAGGCATCCTGAGTATCGGTTAGTCTACGTAAAACAATTAGTTCATCCATCACAAAGTCTAACATCAAGGGATAACTTTCGATTGCATCTGTGAAACTGTTAAATTGGCGTTTGCCTTCAGATACTGTAAGTAATCTAATATCTTAGAATGGGAATACACTATCGTCATTCATTCCCAATGACATTGCTACTTAAAGTCCTACAGTTGAAGTATTTGTTAACTAATGCCATTTGTATAAAGTAGACAAACAAACATAACACTTTAAAATTACTCGCAAAATTGCGAGTTAGACAGGGTGTATTAAGTTTCTTCAAGTGTGCAAGATCACTTCTTAACCAAAATATGAAAGCGTATTCCATTGTATGTAAATGAATAAGGCATATACTTCTTACCGTTAGCAATGAAAGACGTTAGGTGATGCTTTTCTACTTTTCCTGGAACAACCAGAATGTCAAGTACATAGAAATGGATCCATAGAGAAGCAACAAAAGTTTGTAAGTCTGTTGTGATGATCTATGTTTGACAGAAGTAATATCCTGTAACCTAGATGTAATTCTATCGGGTCCAAAAGCGAATTAATTAGTCTCTCCGTTTTAAATAATAATCATTTCCGTCTAATTATCGATTAAGTAAGTAGTCCGATAAGATTCCCTTATTCATAGATCTATTTATTTATTCAGAGAATAAATATTAGTCCATTTTATCAGGCCAAGAATCCTAAACAATCAGTTTTTGAGCATACACCTGTAATAAATTTTCACGTACCAAATAAACATGATAGATGGTTGTCATAAATTTTGTACTGATAACCTTTAACAGTATAAATCATTCTTTTTGAGATTTAACTATCCTGTTAGCTCCCAAACAACAACTATTGCACGCACAGTACCTACATAGGTTAGATGACCTTGGTAGTAGTAAACAAGTGGCATGGATAGAAAATAGGGTTTATTAGGGTAAATAAAGATAACTAAATTCAAGACTACATTTTCTGTTTACCGAAATAAAGTAAATTCTCCTCACTCAATAGGAATAAAACAAGTAAGCAGTCGTAAACATGTTTCGTAGACAGTGAATCAGTGTCTGAAATTCGGGTGTCACATGTCCATCATTAGTAAATATTCATGCCTAGTACAATGCGAAATGATGTATTCAAAATACCACCACTTTAAAAAAGTATATATTCAGTTTGTTGTTGCTGTGGGAACCTATTTAGTGTAGGTAAAATGTTGTCAACTTTTTAAAATCATGATGAGTTGACAGCATTTCCAATGTTTAATGTAAGAGAACAACATTAGTACTGTGATTGAGTAAAACTTCACATTGGTTTATTTATTTGATACAGCACATACCGATACTAAGTTATTTACTACATAATATTTCTAGGAGAATTCATTGTTCATCGTCATGTCAATGTTCGAACTTTTCGTTCGGTCCAAAATGAACAATTGGGTATTTAACATCCTTTATTACATTCTATAAAAAAAATGATAAACAAGTTAGTCAGTACACAAATGAGCCGGAGTTTCATTCATACTCTGTATTGAAGGTTTCGACAGAAGTGGTTCAAATCATTCCATGAGATTTTGTAAAAATTGAGGAGAAACATTCTTATCGCAATCAACCTAAATGGAACAAAAGACATATTTCTTAACAGCAGGAAGGAGCGAACTGACGTAAACAGTAATCATCGGATATGCCACATAAATTGATACATATGCATTTACATAAACATACAAACTGAAGAAAGAAATGATGGATCTAACTCGTAAATGTCTAGAGATTACCATAAAATTAATGAAAACAATCTCAAGTACAGTGCCTTGGACGTCTTTTCCTGTCACTAGCACATCAAAAAAGTACATTCAATCATTAATTTCATTTACCTAAGTAAAATGTAATTATGGGGGAGCGCTGTTGAAGATGTTCCGAACAGAGTTAATGCATAGATACATCAAAGACTAAGAAAGATGATTTATATATAGACAATACAGTCACAAATTGGGAACTTGATCTTTCAAAGTACCATTTTGCAATTTTTCTAGAAATACTAAACCCATAAAGTTTAAAGACAAGAGACTACTCAGTCTTCTTCGTTTCAAGAGGCCAAGAAGCAAGGAGCAAGACTCATACGAACAAATAAGCACACAAGTGAGTAATAAACACTTACCACTGAAATCACAGTGAAGAAGAGTGTGCGCAAAGGCAAAAGATATTTCTACGACACAGACTGCTGGTAGGAGAGGCCTGACAACACTATATAAATAAGGGGCATCATCCTGGAGAAATTAAAGGATGCACTGGATTCAAAACTGCTACCGAAACAGGCTAGCTGGCTGGCTTCAAGAAGAACAAATCATGTGTGTATCAAATTACAACGCTACACATCATCATAGAACAGAACATAGAATGGCAGTCAACTGGATCTTCACCTCAACTTCATCGACTTTGAAAAGGCCTTCGACAGCGTCAACCGAGAAGTGAGTTGGCAACTGCTTCAACACTACGGATTAGTGTCACCTCATTCAACAGCTATATTATATGAAAAGGACACATGCCAAGTGATCCATAGTGGAAAGCTCAGTGATGCGTTTGAAGTGAAGACAGGAGTGAGACAAGGTTGCCCTCTACTATCACCAATAATCTTCCTGATTGTGGTCGACTCGACTCGACTCGACTGGACTGGACTGGACTGGATCATGCGACAGACAACTGTGAGGAGTGAGAAGATGGGCGGGCATATGTTGGCTGGACCGGTGAAAAGACCCGAGGAGAAGATTTGGATTTCACCGATGATGACTTATGTCTAATGTCATGTGGAGAAAAGTCGAAGATCTACAGGCGAAAACTAACAAGTTGGTGTAAGAGGTGGGGCAGTGAAGACGGGACTTCCTTCAGGTGGACGTAGAGAGGACAGAGGTGATGAAGATACACAACCACCACCAGCAAAGCAGGCACCGATCATCATGAACAGGAGAAATATGAAGGAAGTAATCTCTTTCACCTATCTGCCTAGTCAGCGTCGTCTCAACTACAGGCGGCACATGCACAGATGAGGATATCAAAGCCAGGATCGGAAATACAGCAAGACAGGCTCTCATCGACCTGAAGTTAGCGTGGAGATCTACTGCAGTGCAGTGCAGTGCAGTGCAGTGCAGTGCAGTGCAGTGCACTCAGCATCAAGAACAGGATCCGGATTTTCAACACAAATTCAGTCAAGTAAGTCAGTGCTTGTGTGTGGTGATTCAGAGACTTGGCACGTTACGAAAAGCATTTCCAACAATCTACAGACATTCATCAACAGCTACCGCCTACGCTCACTTCATACTGAAGATCGGATGGCTAGAATAATAAGAATAAGCAACAAGGAACTCTGGCTGGCTGGTGACGAACCAACCAAGAACCCATCGCCAAACAAATATGCAGTGGAAGGGAGTGGAGATGGGTTAGATTGGACATACACTGAGAAGGCCGATCGAGGACATCACGCAGTAAGCCAGTTGCTCGACTGGAATCCAAAGGGTGAACGATGAGTTTGGCATCCGATTGTGACATGGAGGAGGTGGTGTGAGGAAGAAATGAGAGTTTGTGGGCTGTTGTGGATGGAGGTTGGAAAGACTGTGGAGAAGAGAGTGCAATGGAGGCGTGCTACTGAAGCTGTGTGTTGCATTAGAACCCCAAGTGAAGAATAAATAATGCTGAAATCACTGGTGAATATATACAAATGTGGCCCTGCTAACCGTGATATGTAAAGGGAAATCGATTGCGAGAAGGAAATCGTTATGAGTTTTACTATCTGAGATACCGTTAGTCCACTTAGCGTTTTGAAAATTTTAGAAGATTGAAAATTCAATTTTTCAGATTTTTTTTAAAACTTGGTATTACTTCGTTGAAGGAAATGGGAAACTCTTAAAATTTAGATAATTATACTCAATATATACTGGAGAATGAGAATTTGGATTGGCTGTAAATTTTTATTCGCTAACCGGCTGACAGGTCACTTTATACTTATGAAATATTTAGGGGGTATAAATACAGTCAGACATATTAAAATCACTTTTTTGTAAACATAATGGTTTCCCTGAACATTTGACACGTTAGTTTTCACGAAAAAATGTTGAAGAAAAAGCCTAAAGGAAACAGGCCAACTAACCTATTTAATTTTGCTTGACAAACACATTTATAAACAGGTAATGCTGAACCATTACTAACGTAAGCGTATAATGCATGACACAGATTTACAGAAATAAGTAAATTTCACTTAAAAAGAGCTGAGATACTAGTGTTGTAACACTTAGCATTGTCACGAAATGAAAAGTTATACTTTTGTAGTCAATCATTTCAAGTGAACAGTAAAGCTTCAGTTTAGTTATTTGATGCAAAAAAGGTAAAAGTAATCTGGATTATTTCAGTTGTGTGCAGAGCTACATGTTAATCTTGAATGCCTTTAGTAATATATTTTCAGATTGGTTTTGCTGATACAGTCTCCAAGCAGTGTATAACAGCAATCAGAGTTGATGCCAACTGAAGAACTAGGTGATGAACGCTCAACTAATATCTTCGGTGCACCTTATCACAGTGACTTTCGTATATATATTCAGAAGGTACAACTAACTGAATCCAACCACAAAAAAATATAGCACAGTAGACACTAATTTGTTTAAGACGCCAAACTTTTAAGAGAATTAGTAAAGTCAATCCCTGAGCATATATAACAGCTTTCTAAACAGTGAATGTAAAACAAAAAGTATGTGTGTGAATAGCGGTGTTTTATTACTTGGTAATATAAATGACTCGTTGCATTAACAAGCTGTTAAAGGATATTCACAACTTATATTACATTTTTCATGGACTGTGCATCAATTAATTTCTTGGTAGTCCTGATTATGATAGCGCGCATAATTTCGCTTGCCAAGAAAAACGTTTGCAGACAGAAAGGAGGTAGAATAAAATGGAAAGGGAGAGAAACAGAGCGACAAAGCAGTATAAAATGAGTTAGATAACAAAAAAACATATGGTCTCCTTTTGTTTATACTAGAATAAAATACAAAAGAAGAGAATCTGACCAAATAAAAGAGATTTTGAATGGAGAAGAAATGAGATGATAAAACCTTCAAGCAAGAGGAATCTTAGTTGGAAATTACTGAAAACCTAGTAATAAAAAAATACTAAGTGTAACCAAAAGCATGAGAGATCGATTGATGTGTATGACGAACAAGAAACAACCTAAAACATCCAGTGGGATAAATTAAATAAAACCTTTATGGTTGTTACAGTCATTGTTATAATTGTTCTTATTTTCATTTACTGCAGCTATTTCGGCGTTAATGGTTTATTCTGATTGAGAATCTCTTCCACTTGTTCGGGTATCATGTATTCAGTCTGTTGTAACGGTAACTTATGTAGAAGTGGGTCTTTAAGACGACGTAACTCCGACTTTAGTTGGGCCAGTTGATCACGTAATTCGTTGTAACGCTCAACGTCGAAAGATGTTTTATCAGCTGATTTGTAAAAGCTTTTCAGGTACTCACGATCAAATACTTGAGGAAGTGTATAATCCTATTTCGAAATAACCAAAAACAAATTAACGATACAATGAGTAATAAATATATAGGTTCCAGAATCATACCTAACAATATTCTAGGTACTGATACCATAACAACGTGAATTTTAATATATTGGTAAGAGAAACATTTTTATTCAGTGATGCCCAAATATCAGAATTAAAATCCATTACTACAGCCCTCTTTTGTTTGACGCCAAACTTTTGAATTTAGTGTTAGTAAACAAGTTAAGCATGCAGTCTTCATGGTTAGCTGACCGGTAATAAAGACGCTAGGTGATGAACATTATATGCTTACCCAGAGAACACTTTACTCTCAGTATCTTTCCAACATAAAAAAATGTTTATTAAAAATATCCTGTCAAATGAATTAAATTAGGGAAGACTTACAGTCCAATTTTTAGTTTATTTCATTGATGCTAATAATTCATTTCTTATACAACTATCAAGATTGCAAACAAATTACACTTTTAAACCAAGACTAAAAGTGTTAACTTAACTTTGACCAGTGTGTCACAACCGAAACTTAAGTAATAGACGATTATAGAATGATCAAGTTAGTTGATCATCGAATCAACAAATCGTTCACTGCTACATATTAAAATGCACTTCGCAAAACATTTTAGCTCAGCTTTATGCTTGTCACCATTCAGCAAATTAACCTCAAGTTTTCCCAGTTGAAACTGGTTACATTTAGAAATATACATTACTAATTTAGTATCGTAGAGGCAAACTGAATTTCATCTGGAAGCTCAAAACCTGAGTTAGCAAACATTTTCAAAGAATGCCACGTGGGGGCTTCAATAATGGTGGTAACTGTTAACTCAGCCGGTGTCTCGAATCTCATAGTAACCTCAAGGTTAAACACTGAAATTCGGTAAATTCAGCACCTTTCATCCATATAGTGTTAAATTTGAAAAGTTGAAAAATAAAAGTAGGCAAGAATTGAATTCATTATTTTTGTCAAATAAAAGATAAAAAATTTTATTTTGCATTCACCAGAACTCCTCAGTTGTATTTCAAATTTCGCGCTACTGGTTATTATGAACAAATATTTGCAAATACTGTAGTAAAACAGTCACCTATACCTTCTGAATTTTGATTCAAGTATAATTTCGCGTCAGCCTACTGATGTTGGCCAACACTAACACTGCCAAAAGTTCACTGTTGATAACAGTCAAGAATCATGAATTAAAGATCATGCAATTTTAGCAGATTCGCAAACAGATTTTACCAGACAAACGTTTTACATTTTACCTCAGTACTAATGTATCGAAGAGCATGTACATGTTGATGTTGTGATCTGGTGATTCTAATAACTCCAGCACAATCTAAAAAAGTGTTAAACAGTGAACCAGGAATATTTCTCCCCAAATAGTTGACAAAGGATTACTTTGTTAGCTTGGGTGCAATTGATTATTTGCAGTGACTGTGCCATCACCATGTCCACATGCATTTTTTATTGACTGTATCACTGATATGATTTGAAGTTGTAGTTTTTTATAAGTACTATCCAGTGGTTGTCAATCCAAGCCTTTTAAAAACAGTACTGATTCTATTTGTTGAAAATGGCAGTGACAACTACATAACAAAATCATTTGTATGGAAGAATACAACACCGGTGATGGTATATTCTTGAAGTATAAGTATACCTCGGTATCTATCACAAAAACGTATTCATTTAAACATGAAAATAGAAAAGCCACATGATGACTAGATACAAAATATGGCCAAGTCCAGATGAAAGAAAACTGCGTACCGCGACGTACATTTTTACTTTCTATACTTAAATTATCATCCTGAAACTATTTATGTTAGACTCTTGTAGACTCTAGTATTCATTACCTTTAAAACATCCGACTAATTTAAACATCTGACTACTTTACTCACTGCAAATAAATATTAGCCTTCAAACAAATCTTATATTAGAAATTGATTTATAACAGTAATGTCAATAATACGTTTTCCTTCAACAGGTTGAATGATATGATGAAACCACAAACCAACAATACATTCGTGACCTAGCCATAAAAATGACAGTGCTCCGGTTGGTCACTTTATTTGCTTCTTCGCCATTTTTTCAGTCATTGCATCAAATAACGTTGGTTCAAAATAGACCGATAATACACTGATCATAATCATTGCATACACTAGTGTATGATATTTTAAAACAATAAAACATGTGAAACACAGGAATCCAAAACACAGCACAATAGATTCACAATGTAGATTTACAAAATTTATTACTTATCAAGTGCTCTTTTGACTAACAAATGATAAAATAAGCAATAGATTCAACTAACACTAGATGGTAATTGTGCATTATCGGAAACGAACAGAGTTTGGGATATTAAAGATATAGGATTTCAGCCAAGAGATTGAATGGTATTGTGTTTAATATGAAATACGACAGTCTTGAGTTCAATTTAGCATAGCCTCCTAGTCTCACACTAGTACAAAGCAACTCCTAAGTACTTCCCAGCTTTCAATGTTCCACCAGCTCATATTGATTCGTGATGAAGACAGCCTTAAAGTTACTTGATTCATAGCAAAACTTCCTTCTTAATTATGAAATTAACAATTTTCGTATGATTTTTATCAACCTGAATATATACATCGAATATACATAGGTCATTATAATAGTGGGGACTAGTTCATTGTCTCCACTTTAGATGAAGAACAAGTTAAATTGCCAAAGAGGTGAAATCAGAGGTTTAGTAACGTATGAAATGGATACATCATCAATGTTCGGATTTATCAGCAACAAACGATAATAAAAGGAAGTAAATATTCGAAAGTGGAATACTATGGGCATGAAAATAGACTTGGCCAAAGAACCGTCAATTCCTTGGGTCATAGTAGGAAAAGAAAAGCTGAGCAAAGTCAACTAGAAGAGCTATTTTAATCCAACCTCCGTCCAGCGAAGGCAAACTCAATGAAGGCATTATTTTACCTTTAATGTTTCTTGTTTTATATGGACTACAAATGATTTATTTCCACATCTTAGTAGTCAAGTAGACGGTAGCTGTAGGAATTGTGTAGGCTGAACTAGGCGAAAGCAAAAAGTGTCTACGTGATTTTATAGTCTCAGAATCAAGTCAACATTCCACTGGTAACTGTTAACTTAGTTTCGGTTTTTCAGTGGTAATATTCTCTTCCTTGACTCATTACTATTTATGTCTTTTTTATTCACAGTGCCAAACAATTATTTCCCCTCGTTAGTAACATACTAACACCTTAGTTTATGATGACTTCATTAGGATAATTTGATCATTGTGATCAGCAATCAGTCACACCTTTAAATGAAATATTTGCGACTATGTCATTTACCGAGACGAAAAGACAAACACGAAAAACGAGTCCCAATCATGCTAGCAGTCAAGTTAATTATTAATTCACAAAGAAGTATTCGAACTCACCTGTCTTGTGACAACATAGTAAGCATACATAGCCATACTTGTTCCGTAGCCAACAAAATAAGTAACTGGCTCCATAATATCCCATGAATATTCCCACCACGTTAATCTGGCCAACAATCCGAATTGTATTCCCATAGCTCCTAACCCAAGCCAAGTAAGTCTACGAGTTCGTTGAGCAGCTTGTGCAGCAATAACAGATTTTTTCTAGATTTTTCCAAAATAGGTCACACAAAATACTGATGAAAATGGCGGTATGTGAAAGTTTAAAATGCTAGTTAGTAAATTGTTAAAGCAGTTTACACTATCGCGAAGTTTAAGCGAAAAACGGTTCGCTTAACCTCAATAGAAATGCATACTAAATCTTGGCATTCTATAATCACCCTTTAAGGCATCACAGCAAAATGTATGCTTGAAGAAATCTTAAAATTTCGTAACCTTTCTAAAAAGATAGAATACTACAAAATAAAATATTCATATTGATTTTGCAAGAGAAATTCACTCCGCATGAATTCAAGTGACAATGAAATACAGAAAGTTAAAAATCATCTTAACGATCCCTAAGCACTAACCAGTTTTGTTTCTCGCTCAGACTACTTTTTCGTATGAATTTATCCATCAGAGACATGATAAATTTAACCAACAAACTTAAAATTAAGATAGCGTGATTTCTTCTTGTTGATCCACTGAAACCGGTGATAGAAGACTGTTTGTATATGAACTTCCTGTACGATTGGTTCAAATGCATCTTCAAGGTTATTTTGTCTAAAGGTAATACAAGTTTAGTGGATATAAAGAAGATGAAACTGTAAGGTAAATATTCAGTTTCATTCAGAAATTTAGCTAACGAAACCCCTGTTCGTACTATGGTAGGAATTATGTTGTGTAACAAATAGTTATTGAGCTGTAATCACACGGCTAAGTATTGGCGTGTTTACACCGAAATTCCTAGGTGCAGAACATATATCCTACTGTGTAGCTTTTCACCGAGACATCACACATGTGCAATCCATCCTAGTTTGTTGAAAAAACTTTTCTTTCTCAAGTCAAATAGATCATAAAATGGAAACATTAAAATATAAGCCCTTCAGTGGGATGGAAAACTGTAGATTAAAAAAATGAAAACAAAATTAGTCATTTGCTGAAAAGCACTGTTAATACAAATCTGCAAATAGAAAAGTGACTCTTAGGAAGTTAGTATACCTGTTCAAATGGTTCTAATTGTAAGTGTACGTCTTCGATACATTTCTCAAGTTGTTGTTGTTTTTGGGCGTAAAATTCATCGATATGAAAGACACTGGCAAGTTTTGTGACCAGTTGTCGAGCGTCAGCCAAATCCTGTGGAACAGAGCTATACTGAGAAGCTAAATAAATAAAAATGTTATCAGAATGGAACAGGTTCACTAGGGAATGCTGCGGCTGATAGACTTTTAAAGATGATATACAAACAGTAAAATGTGACATAAAATAACCAAATCTTACAGAAACCTTGTGAGAAATTATACAGATGCAGAGATTCAAAATGCTTATTGAATTCTGGCGGAGCAATATTTTGAAACTTATCAACTCTTAAGTACATCACTTTACCAATAATATATTAAGGGCACTTTCTTCACTATGAACTCATCTACATTTTGTCATCGACAGTCGGTCCAACTTGAAAATAACATTTGACAGAGTGCAGGTTCGATTCACATCTACTAACTCTAAAGTATACCAAAACTGTTACTTTAACAAAAGGACTAGCTTCGTCCTAACAATTATTGACTATGCAATCCTTTATCCATAGTCCCAAAAGTAGCTTACTGAACTTGAAAGATGGTTGGAACAAGACAACCTACAACCTACACTTCAGAATGTTGATTACCACTGAAAAATCCACTGTATCCCCATGTAGGTTACAGTCTAAAGAACGACAGGGCCATGCTAACAGTTAAAAGAAGGTAAAAAGTACCATAGAATAGTATTCAGAAGGCTAAGGTAACTTTATCCACCATATGTATTGTATAACCACTTTCATTGAACAGAAAACTACAGATTAAAGTGAAAAAAGTTTCAACGCCATATTGATGTTGATGACTAACAGTGGGATCCATGATGCGCGTGTTGTCCTATTTGGGACTCGTCAGCTGCATGTACCTGAACCCCAGTGAGTGATACTGTTCCCGCTGAGGCTGGAACCCAGTACCCTTCACTTCAAACGCCAGAGCGTTATGCACTAAGCCACTGGGTAATGTGCCCAACTCCAGTGCAACGGGTGTCAGTTGTTGTACCGACGAATCCTAGACTTGACGAAACGCGCGTTCTGGATTCCTCTGCTAGTCACTAACATCAATATAACATCATGAATATCCGGCATCCGCAGAGGAGCCCATCTGCTAACATAGGTCTAACAATTCAGACCTATATGGCAACGGGAAATTACAAGTATTGTTATAACTACAAGTTGTAATGCCATTCATTCTATGAACTCTAGTAGCATTATTGCATAGAACTGTTTCCTTTGCATTTCATTTTAATTTACTATATTTAATACTAACCGAGAAGCGATAAATCTGATTATCCAGGGAAACAATATTTGTCATTCTGCCATAGATTTTCAAAGACAAGTCTTCTCTAAATGACATGTTAGAAGCTGACTATAATGGCAACACTTTTCTTTGTTTATATACAAACAGAAAAATACTGACAAGTCTATTTAAGCACCAATTATAATAGATTATTCGCATGCATATATCTGAAGTGTAGCTGGCTTTTCACTTAAGTCTCACAATACAACGAAGAACTAACAGAATTCATAGAACTCTCTCATTTTTTAAATAGGTTCTAAATTTTCCACTGAACATGCTTCACCTCAGGATTCGGGTGTTTCTTTTCTGCATACATATACAACCATCACGTATTCTCAGTTGAATTCCACTCGTTTTGTAGATAGTCACTCCAAACATTGTGTGGTTTATTTGATACCATATGCAAGCCTTCAAAAAAAGATCTAACAGATCCACTAGGCGACAGCCTTTTCAATTCAACATTGTCCTCTGTGTTGCTAAACCTTTTTTAGTGATCCCATATGACTCAAGAGTAACGTAGCCAGTTCTTAGCCTGTATGCTACTTTTTTTTAAGGTTAGTATAACTCATTAATTTATTTCTTGTGATTGATAATTCTCATTCATTCGTTTTACAGTGGTTTGAAATAATATTATTTTACACATTTGCTATTAAGAAATAGCTCCATCACATGAAGTTTGGACACTGTTTAAAACTAGTAGGTAGCTGATACTTTCCAACTTCCCAAATCATAAAGGTTAACAGACTTTGAGCGCATGTGAAACAGGAAATTAGTCATCTTTAATTCAACGCAAGATTCAGAAGAGATATTTGTGAAAGTCAGTTACAGTTTGCTGTTTATAGATAACGAATTTCAGACAGCTTTTAAGTTGAAAGAAAATTTAGCCCAGCTAAGTGAACACAAGATGAAGAAAACTGAGTTTAAGAAATATCTTCTGTGATATTTTTCTCTCAATGGGGAGGCAGCTCTATTGCCTTCAGACTTTTAAGATAGTACAGTTATTCATGGAATCAGTAACAGAAGAATATTCTACTGAAGAAGCTATGGCATGTATAGATAAATGTTCGGATAAATCGCTTTGTATTTCCTAAGCACACTGGCATTATATTATGGCGTACTTCTATACTTAATCAATCAGACTGGTAACTCGAATTCTTCCAGGACAGTCATGCCAAGTATGATCTGAAAAAACTTTATAAAAATGCTTCTACACAAACTTTGAACTCTTGAGATCATTAGTTGACCCCTTTTTATAAATTTTTAAATTCTGCTGGCGTTGATAAGGAAATCGTGAACAGACCAAAGAAAATTGGACAACAGAAGGTATTGGGTCGTTAATATCCTGATATTATTATGGTATGTATAGTAAGTGGGGCGAAAGATAATAGTAAATGGCTTGGAACATCCTGCTTTTTAACTGAATACATAGACTGTAATGTTGGTAGTCATCAAATAGTATGTTGTTAGACCTCGAAAACCATGAATATCACAAGTCTTTCACCTATGACCTGTTATACAAATACACAGGTAGAGGAACAAAGAAGGATGATACAAATTTAGCTCAAAATGGATAAAATTTTAACAGCGTCTGAATACCTTCGTTTGAATCCAGATATCAAGAAATAAAATATTTACTCGGATCTTAACAACACTTGTATTCACTATACAACTTGAATATCTGTAATTATTTTTCAAGTGAATGATTTATTTCAACTCCCTTAAAATACTTATTCGAACGTAGACTGAGAAAGTGTATCCGATTAACGAATCACTACTAGCTATCAGATTATGTACGTTCTTTGTCCGATGCATCTATTTGATTGGATCATACAAACAGAAAGAAAAACAAAAAAGAAATCGATACCGGTCACGAGTTATGAACAAAGTGTTCAGTCACCATTTTAAGCCAATCAGAATATGCAGTTAACTTACTAGAAGAATGGAAGTTTTTAAAATAAGTTAGATATATGCCGTAGGTAAAGTATTGACTTTTAGGGGGAGAAAATAAGTGATTGCTGGAACATTCATAATACAATTAAAATCTAACATTATTGATTCCGTTATTGTTCACCCAGGTTAAAAGAATATATAACTCCATGAAAGAAATAGTTACGATGGTTGATTTTAGGTCTAGTCAGAGTGTATGATATGAATATGGTCAACAGACTGAAATATTCTAACAGTAATAAGGTTTGAGAATGAAATCAAACCCTTCAACTATTGGTTTCTTGTGGTTGACTAGCTGGTGTATAAAGACGAACCGTTGGCTAGAGTTCAGAATCATTCCAGCTGTATGGAATTCAGCCTGTTAGTCAAGTGATAGAAAGACACAACTATGTCTTCTTCCACTTACAGTAAAAAGGAAAATATGTTGCCTTATTTGTAAGGTTTAAAGTCCATAAGAACTTGAAACGGTCACAATAATATTCTGTGTTTAGGGTCCATAATCACCACTGTCTACCAATGAACTATTATTAACTGCGACTCAGAATGAAATGCTCTCATATCGGTAGATTTACCGTTTTTCTTTTGTTGTTGATGGAATAACGTATGTCTCATTATCCGTCTACAGCTTTGGTGAACAGAGACTAGTGTACTTCAGGACACAGAACACCTCATCTTCACAAAGACGTTGACAGAAAAACCAGAGAGATAGCTAAACTGATGACCGTTACGAAGCAGCTACTTTGAGGAAAGTCACAAGGGTGAGTTGAAGTAGACTGAATAGCTGATAAAAAAAGTAATGAGGAAATGTTACTTAATTATATAAAGCTACATAAGAATGACCAAATCATCTCGAGATAAACTTTCTTCACTTCTGAGCTGTATGACTGAAACCCTATGGTCAGCGTTCCACAACTCCAAACAATAAATGAGTATTTTGAAAACACAACATGTGTTAAGTAGTAGTTTTTCGTACCACACTGCACAAAACTTACATAATGATGATGTATCCACATGATATTTCTCATCATTGATAATAAGTTGAAAATTAGAGGCAAGTAGGTCTGCGACTGAGTTGGACTTTGCGATCCTGGTTCCATCTAAGACAAAACGATAGTGGAAAAAATTAAGAATATTAGTAACTTCACAAACTAAAATGATAAAGTATGAAGATTTGAAAAGATTGGATGGTTATATATCAGTGAGATGATTGAAAAGAAACATCATCACCGTTTGGCCAGAAAATTCCTAGCTCAAGCCAGTATCAGAGTGATGTTACGCTTAATAAGAAATCGGAACCCAAGGGGAAATAGATATCCTGTGCTACGCACCTCGCCCAGTTTCCCAAAGATGCTATGGTTAGCATAAGCCTGTACTAGAAATCTACTTCCAAACTGAAAAGTCACATGATAAATTCCGCTCTTATGTGCAACATACACGAGTCAAAGTCGCTCAAAACATTTTCCTAATAACTGAGCGGTAACTTATTGGAAAAGAGAAGAATGTAACCTAATACCGAGAAACGTTTGAATGTTATGGAGTTTACAGTTGAACAAAAGGTAACTCAGTGGTGGTTGCAGTAAACCTTAAAAAGATTCCAACATACTTGTGCTGCTGCATTTCTGTTCTAGAAAGAACATAGAGTTTACACGTGAACTAGGAAAATAAAATTGTCCACCGTCGCCAAACATTTTCTAAGTGTTAGGCTTATGACAGCCGACTTTCTCTGCATGCAACAATGCATAGTTCACTGCCTTTAAAACCACCGTGGGTAGTTAGTAATTCTAAAAATACATGAACAAGCCAAACCTCCATTTTAAAAAAGTATAAAAAAGCAGAGAAAGAAAAGCATCTGTATGTACACTGACAAACGTGATTATAAACTGGAATAAGCTCCTAGAGAAGAAGTTGTTTTATTTTTCGATTTCTTCTATGAGGTGTACTGGGTAGTCTATTTTTAAGTTATTTACTAGTTGCATACTGCAATTTGACACTTCTCACAACTAAGAACGTGAAAGGTACAAACTACAAATAATTTTCAAATTGATAACCTGTGAAGGCCTGATTTAGTATGAACAATTCAACTCCTCTCAAAAACTGAATTCGTTCCACTATGCCACTGATAGCCTTGACTACAAACAAGCGAAACAATCATCCAATGTTTCGACTACCCTAACCTGGTAAGCGAAATCCGCAAATCAAGCTTAGTGGTCTCTAAGTGCTCATGTTTTTCAATGGTACACGTCGTGGACAGTCATTCTCATCATGAGACGAAGAAGAAATATGTAGCTGTTCAAACGGTTTTAAGCGGTAAATTAAAAATAATATCCCATGGTGTACAGGCTACTCACTTATGATTAAACACAGGAGAACCTCCATTAATACACTTGTGCAACGTAATGAAATTCAAGCAATTTGCTGATATGATTGTCAATACAGATTCTCATGTTCTACATACAAATCGTTTGCAGTCTAAAATGTCACTTATACTTGAATTCAATGGTTTTCGACTTTGCATTCAGTTCTTGTTTGAATTGACTGTCACACCTAATAACTAATCTAGAAGGGTCAGTTGCACGTGTCATGCAGCAAAGAGTATACCACAGTACGATTCAGAAGCAATCATCAAATAGAACTTCTCTGTTGCCTTCTTTTTCCTTTTATTCTCCTGCATGACAAAGGTAAGAACCTGGCACAGCAGTGATTCACTTAGGGTTATCACAACTAGGAAAGTGGTTGTAAATGGAGAGAAGAAAACGAGAGGGTCAATAAAGTAGTGGATAGACCTGATTGTAAAGCCTATGAGAAGGTGAGGATATTATCCACAAACCTCAGGGATAATACCATTTGACAGTATGATCACTGTCACTGATGTCTTTATCATCATTCACTTCATTATCTCTTTTAATTTTATTGACTTCATTTCCTTATACTGTTAGATGTAGTAACTTGTACTGAATAACATATAGTTGTTCGGCCGGTCTCTTTTAGTCAGTGAAACATACTTCAAGATTGGTTGGATAATGGTACAACTTATCTAAAAACAATTCTGTTTGTTTCTGTCCCATAGTAATATTTAAAATATATGCAACTGAAAAAAAGAATACCTGTGGATCATTTGTACTAAAGACTAATGTTTAACATCCAGGTAGACATGACATAAACACCGAATGGCTGTTTTTCTCCATCAAGGATGAGTGATATATTTGAACTCATTCACTCCCACAGGTTGAATTTTTTGTGCGGAACTGATTTCTGCCAGGTAATTAAATAAAATGAGGGTGATATGAAGTAAAGCATTTGATTTCCCTTACCTATGATACTAAAAACCCACACCTAACCCCAGCAGTATTCGTTCACTAATTGGTTGCTTCAAATGAGTGGTACTTGGAGATTAACTAACCGAGGTTTTTCTTTATCTCATGGTCACATAGTGGAATGTCAGAATTATTTCACTAATATTGAAGTCTTAAGTTGATGGTTGTTTTTCAAAATATTTTAGCTATGAATATTTTACTATTCTGCTTTTCTAAACCGGCTCATTAAGTTTTAATTGTTTAATCCATGAATGTTACTATAACCTAATTGTTTAATTGTTACAAGAACAATGAAGTTGATTTCTCTTCAAATGGACTAGTAGACAATGGTAAATAACCTAACAGAGAGACGATATAGTTCAACGCCATCAAACAATTTTCAGATCACGTCATAAGTAAAAATCATTAACTATCTTCATGCACATATCCTACGTCTATGAGTATTACTGGTTTCATGAGCTACTAAATCATTTTATGTATTCGTAATTAGGTAACTGAATAGTGACAGAGTTGATTGTTCTGTACCGAGTGGTAGTTTTTGAACTGAAGCTATCATACTACAGTAAAGTAAGAAGAAACCAACAAAAGGAAGGAAAAGCATTCACATTAACTCACGAAAAAGTATGTCTGTATGCAGAATAGTGGAATGTTCAGGATATAGAATGAGCTAAAGAGTAGATTCGTCTATTCTATTACGGTCAGTTTTGAGCAGTGTCATTTAATGACCGAAATCACTAGCTTTTGATATCTTTGCAATTCTAGTCAGAAATCTTGTATTTAGAGAATTCTTGATTCAGCTCACTGCACACCAAGAACATGATGAATGGATGTAACAGGCAACTTGCATGATCATCTCACTACACTCAAATTCATAAGCATACCACATGTCTCACCTAAGGTACCGAAAGTTTTGTGTATAGTCACAAACATGACAGCCTACGCACCAACAATTCTCTTATTTCAACAAAGTCTATATCTACAAGGAAACTGTTCACTGTTCACGTAACATAACTACTCCTTAATTTTTATTTGATTAACTTCGTGGGATATTAATGTTCTAATAATAAAAAATGTTCTGGTTCTAAGATCAGATATTCAGCTCAGAATTTAAACACATTGTTTTTACCTTTGAATAACTATCGGCTTACCTGTTATCACACTCTACAAAGTGAAGATATAACATAATTGAGCAGTGAACTAGCTATCATCTCACTTCGCTAAAAGGTTAAAAAAAAGTGAATAAAATCAAGTATATTGCAACGGATTCACTCCTCCATGAGATAAAATCATTGAGTTTTGTAACTTATTAGAAATACCAAGTCAGGTATAAGTCAGCCTAACATCATCTGCAATTGACTTCTCACCGTTAGATAATGGCTAACAGTAGAATCTAAAATGCTGTTGTCCCACTATTTTCGACCTGTCAGCTGGATGTTCCTAATTATTATTTCCCGTGTTTTAATTGAGGCCTGTATATAGCATCCAACAGTCCAAGTGTTAAAGCACCATCGACTACGTACAAGCATAGTTTATTATTATAGTTTTTACTTTAGTTTAAGTAAAAATATTATTTTTAGTTAGAAATACATGTTAACCATGTCTATTGGATAAATCAGTGTACAACTTGATCAACTCTGTTGGTTTTGCTTATCCCATTGATTTAGTCTGCTTGACTATCCAAAGCATTCGAGATAAACCACTGATTGACTTCAACAGAAGCCATTTAACAATAATAATAATAATAATCCTTCGCTATCGCAGTAATATGGCACAAGCAGACGTGTAGATACCAAATAGCTTGTCACAAGAAAAATGGGAGATGAAATTGTAAAATCATAAGAATTATAATGTTTTATGAACCTTAGGTGGGTAGAATATGGTAACACAGCTGGCAGTGACCAGCCACTACAACTTACACTTTGAAGGAACCTGTGTAGAACATTTTCATAAACCGACATATGTAAGCGTAATATATATATTTATGGTCCACAGAATCTTTTTATAACTTTATGATCCCTTTAATTCCCACTGAAAGGTCCAACCTCAATAAATTTAATGCTTGGTGAAATATGATCCGAAAGTAATGCTTATTTCACCTTACAGTAGAAAAATGAACTTACTTCACTTTAGTGTAAGGCACACTTTTTAATCACATTAAATGGTAGTGTTCCCTTTGGACACGGAAAAAATTTGACTGCAGAACACATGTGCACTTTTATACAACTTCAAATACTCAAACATTTCCAACATTACCACTACTGACTGCGAGATAATTTACAGGGTCCTGATAACCTTTCGTAGTATGTGCTGTGCTTTCATAGTATGCAACACATATTCTGATAACACAAAGTGGAAGTAGTTAAAGCACATTCTGAATGACCTGTACATTAATGAAGACAGAACAACATTATCCCTTTTTATATTCTTTCTTATAGAACATTGGCTTATCATAATCTTCACCAACTTTCTGAGGGACCACCTACAAAATGACATGAACAACAAGACTTGTTGCCTCAGAGACTAGACCACCTTCACCAACGTACATATTTTTCTAAATATCACAGAAAAGTTGACTTTAAATTCATATAAGGCCTGACATTCTTTCCCTAAAGACACAAGGACGAAACACTGACTGATTTCAAGTATATTCACATTAAAATCTGCTGATAGCAGGTAAGGTATACAAACCACAAACTATGTGAACCACTAAAAGAACAGAGTTTTTAAATAATTGATATACCTATGAACACAAACTCTAAGAATAACCTTACTTTAATTTTATTTGCGCATGTATGAATTTTGATATAAATTTATTACAAAGTACAGAAACCTTAAAAGAAATAAAATAGTCACTTAGAACAAGTGAAATAGTGTATAACAATATGAAGGACCTCTCAAAAGAGGCGATAAATTCAGCTTTCCACAACTTACTGTAACGCAAGATCAGGAAATCAACAGAAATGGAGAAATATTGAATTTTATGAGAGGTATATTGAAGTTATCGGTCAAAGAAATCAAAATTTTGAGGAATATAAAGAGTAAATGAATGATTGTTACTGGTATAATTCATCAGCAGTTTTATGTAAAGGTTCCAAAAGCTAGTTTTGGACATATACAGAAGCAAAGTGAATTATTGTACACTTCCTTACATGTTCAGGAAACTATTTCGCTTAGATAATCCATAAATGAAGTGGAATGAGATTTAGAGAGTAAAGGTGTCTACCTAAAAGTGAATCTTATTTCAACTATACTGATGTACTTTGTAAAGTAGTTCTAAAAGAATTCAAAGATGCAAAGATTAGAGCATTACCAAATAAGAACCAATAGTAAATTGTTTAAAAGACTATAGTTAGCTGCATTTAACTCTGTTGCACTGCCATACACATTCTATTAACACTAGCTAATAAAATGTGTATTACCACAAAAGCTGAACTGACTGATGTATCTGTCAAAAATTCCTCCACATATTTAGCATTCAGCTTAAAAGTAATATGATAGTTTACCGATACACCACCCTACTATCTGTGAAATATATGGTTAACTGGTTTAAGTTCTTGATTATCAACTACTAGGTCACGGGTTCAAACCTTCACCACTTATTCCTGGTTCCGTAACCACCCAGTATCATAATCGTTTTGAAAGTTAGTATAGTTCGTGGTCTAGTACACAAACTTATACAATAAAGTTCCCTTCTCAACGATGGCCACATAAATAGTAATCTTCCTCCTATCAGCCTGTTGAGTAAATCAAAATAAATGCAAACTATGATAGTTACAATACATTCTTCATATTTGTTGTTGCTATCACACAACGCTGTTTAGAATCATTACGCAAACTCTTGGTAAATTCTCCAACGGCTATCAGTTGTCATATTGCTTGAAGTTTTCATGCATCAATTAGTTTGAAAAAGCTTATAGGGACCCATGAACTCTTACTGCTAATATACAGATTACTATTTGTCTTTACTTCTGTTTTGTGTAGCAGACTGAACACCACACCTAGCTACAATCATGCTTCTAATAACCATCGTATTCCCAAGACTCTTTTCCTACGTACTAAAAATCAAAAACAATTTTTTTGAATGACAGATATAAGCTAGCATTATCTATCTCGTTCATAGCTGTCGCCAAAATATTTCCTGTGGTTCAGGATGTCCAAAACAGGATTCGCAAGGTAATTTGTTGAGATACTTCTGTATAGGAAGGTAGCATTAGGGCTAGTTCATCTGACATCAATAACCATCTCTTTTTCATAGGCCCGATAAAATGTGCACAAATAGGTGACCTTCACATAATAACTGAGCTATTCCTTTTTTAATGATCAAAAGAAATAATCTACTTTATACACAATCCCTGAGAACTCCACTACCTGAAGACTGCGAGATAAAGGGTGAACTAGGTGGGAACCATTGGTAGGGAATTCTTAGATCATGAGTTCTAAAGACATCAGTTTTAATCAGAACACATTGTACCTAATCAGTTCCAACATTTTATATTCTCACACAATTGATAGTATAATGAAAGTGAAACCGCATTCTACACTAATTCCAACAAAGTGATCAATATCTACATTCCAGGCTTGTAGTTACAGTCGCATTTGCATGAATCAGTAACGCATATAAAAGTCAAGAAAAACAAAGTGGCAAATTATGTTTTGAATTTCTCATAGTCTTTGTGATGAGAAGAGCAATTTGAAATAACAATGAAATGCCTTCGTGTTTTTTTTAGTTAAAATTCAACTTTAAAACTCCCTATCAAACCTTGAAATAGTCCTGCTTCTCCGTCCAGTTACTAAACGTGTTAATCAGTCAAAGATGGCAACTATTCAGAATATTCATGGAGATAATCTCATGATTATGATTGTCACCTACATTGAATTTGCTTTGTCAAATGAAGACAAGTGATTGTTGCACGTATCACTCCAACCCTTTGACTCTACTTTACTTTAAACCCCTAATATTGATTACCAACCACCTTGTTATTATGAGATTTCAGTCACATATAATCGTATATAAACACTGATGGATTCACAGTGTTCACGAAGTCTTTTACAATGGAACTACACGGACCTATAACTTAATAAAAACTTATCAAAATGACTTATACTCTGATCATTTGCTTATTTTTAAATTTTATTTGGTAGTAGTTTACTTTTTCCTCAAATTGTGGTTAACATGCATGTTAAGCTGTTACATTTATTATTTTTGTATTATGCTGGAAAGAAGAGTTAATAAGAATGAGCAGATCGAAGACCGTCTAGTTGGCAAGAATTTCTTTATTATAATTATTAACAAGAATAGTCAATTGATGGTCTTGTTGGTAAATAAACACCGATAGCTGTACGTCAAACTGATAGGATATTTAATCAGTGGAATATTAAAAAACTCCTCGTAGCAATTTCTGCATTCAAAACCTCACATTTAATCACAAAATAGATGTATGAAAACAACAAAAAGGGTAAAAATGGTGACAAGCTCCCTAAAAGGTCAAAAATACCCAGGAATCACCCAAATTGCAATGACAAGAAGTTCCAAAAACTGATACATTTTTCCTGTTTCAATCATTCCTGAATCGTCTAGTATCTGTCACTACCAATCTGTTCTACTTTACGGATCCCGTATAACAGACATATTTTTTAAACAGATGTATCAAAGATAACAGATTTCTCTAAGCAGTTAGATACTCAGCATTCTTTCAGTTGACTGATCTACATTCTGAAGCAGCTGGTAAAAAGCATGAAAATGAGTGCATTATGAAGAATATTCAACCAATCACACTAACTGGTCGAAATTCTAATTCCATACAGCAACAATTTTTAAGTGATTATTTTTAGGCAAGAACAAACAATCATGTCATTACAACTTCTAAAAACCTCCCTACCTTCACTAAAAAATACTATTCGATCCACACCACTGTCTTCACATTTTATAAAATTTGATAAATCTCCAACTGTATGTTGTAGAGGCTTGAGAGTAAAAGAGCACGCTTCACGTCTGGAAGGTAACGGAACAATAATTCTCGGCAGGCCATTTTCATTATGTACAGAAACTGTATCCAGCGAAGAAATGGATGTTGAATAGAACAGAAATGACTGAACTTGTACAAGATTCAATCTCTGAAATTAATACATTTTAGGGATACCAATATGAAGTGACAGTTGTACAAGTTCAGAGGTAAACTCAACAGACTGTCAATCAGATTTGTGAAAAAAGAATAATCATTTCAGTAAAAAAATCTCTGTTCGACAATTTAGCTCGAGATGGATAAGGAAGGTGTTTTAAAATGCTTTTAGTTCTATACATTTCTAAGTTGAAATGTGGACTAAGTGATTTTAGAAAGAAGCCATACTTAACAGCATATTACACGATAAGAAGAAAGTCCAAAGTTATGATAGCGCCTTTAAACGGTGGTTATTTTTCGATAAGTATTATAAACTCTTAAATCACTACTGTTCTGATACATTAACAACTATTTAATGAGGAAATCTCCGCAAAATATTTCTTCTTTCCCGAGAAATAAACGACAAATGCGACAATTATATTATTGTTGTGGACACTAATAATCACAGTGTAGTCATAAAAGTCTTCCTTTATTACCACAACTCATATGATACTAAAAACCATTGCAACAAAGTCCACAGTCTCATTAAAGTAATGTTCGAGACTATAGTAATGCAGTTCAGTACAGTTGTATGAAATATTCTATGTAGTTCTGTCTATCCTAATTGTCAGTTTAATAAAAGAAGACCTTTGAAACCATTTGTATTGGATACTATAATTACTGTCTAATCTTATTCACTAGTGATTTTCCAAACTCAGCAAAGTGATAAGTTAAATTCAGTGAAATCCAATATCAAAACCTCTCAGGATAAGTAGGTTTACTTAGCCGAAGCTTATGAGCCTAAAAAATCAGATAGGTTTGAGGACAGGATCAAAAACTATCACTTGGATCCTTCTTGTCTGTTAAATTTTATAATACAGATTTATTTATCAAGGCCTTGTGCTCCTCACATTTCGACCTAAAGGTCGTATCTGACTCCAAATGAATTTAAGAAAGATTTTTAAAATTGAATTGTCTTTAAAATAGAGCCGCTATTAGATTTCGATTATTTCAACTATATAGTTCAGTTAGAAGAAAATACTGACTAGATGTAGTTATTGCAAATCCCTCATAAATAATGAGAATGTTGAGCATGAAATATGAACCTGTTAAAAAGTAAAGTGGTATGTGCCACTGGAACTCGTTGACCGTGATGATCACTTTATTCTATTGAAAGTCACATTAATCGCGTTAAGACAGCTATTCACACAACCTCTACGCGGAAACCGATAGACAATTTCTCATTTATCCACTTATTTGTGATAGCGGTAAGGTATCTGGCTGTCTTTGGAAGTAAGAAGTGTGATAGGCGTATGTAATGAGTTCCAAGAAAGGATAACACATCAGTCAGCAGCAAAGTCATGAGATTCGGTCGACTGAAATATGCGTTACGCAAGCCGCACCGATCTTTGTTGAGTAAAACAGGATAATGTTGAATGTACATTAGGGGTGTTCGGATGAAAAGGCAATCCGAATCTGCAACATCACTAACTGTTAGTCTAGAACGTTTAAGTACTCTATGTAGAATCCTGTAGATCGCGGAACCATTGGGAATATATATCAGAATCGATCTAAATGAATCGGAAGTCTTATTTATTATAAATATATTTGTAACGAATGTTAACACACACTGGTGTTATTTAGTTTTGGTAATATCTCGAGAAAAATTATTGCATGTAATCACACTTAATGTTGGGATTATTTGTTCACATATCTGCTCACTGAATTCATATGTATTGTTTCCATTTTCTAGGTTTGTCATTATTTTTCTCCAATATTGTGTTCCAAGTTGTTGACGATTGAGCTGAGTCACTTTTGCTGCATATGTTAGGTGTGACTTGTATGAACATGGGTTCAATCAACAATCTTTCTTTCCATTTGTTCACGATGAACTTTAAGATATTAAGATGGTCCCAATCAATAACATGTTTTTTCATCCGACGCATGTCCTGCTATCGATGAACTCTTTTCTAAGTTTTTCCCATGGTTATAACAGAAATCTTATTTTTCCTGAAGTCATTAAATATTTGTTTCTCATCATTTATTTTCTTCGCCCATTTTAATATGATGGCATTTATGCTGATTTTCTGATTCTGTCATGCTGAACTAATGCACAAGTATATTAGACTCAAAACTGTTGTATCTGTCTGTCAAATGAGTTTTAGTACCGTTCCTTTAAGGAGCAGATTCTCTTAGTAATTAAATGCTAAAGCCATCAGGATATCTATACAATGACTAACTCTTCAAAAAAAAAACTTTATTTGGATTACTGTTGCTCACTACTGTAGTCTGGATCTGTCAATACACTACTAAAATTAAGATTTGCATCACGTGAATAACTAATTTCGCTCAATGGTAAATAGTAGGCTGACTAGAAATTAATTAATTTCATATGTAAGGAATCCAGCAGATGGTAGGTAACCAAATTACATCTGGCAAAGGAGTAATGAAATTACTGACAAGGATCATAGGCTTCGATTTGCGCTACACATTAAAGCGCCAAAAAAAAGCTAGGTTTTAATGATTGTAAACCACCTAGTGATCTAGTTCACTGACGTTACAATCATTCCACTTATTAATCACAAGCGAAAAACTAAATAAGTTAAACAAAAAACAGTATCAACTACTTTTTATTACAAGCGAAGCTCCCAATAAACCGTACGTTCATTAACCGACAAAAATCCAAGGGAACTGAATGCGGAAGGTTTGTTAAAAGCTGTGAAACATAAAATGAAGGGGCTAAATCACACATAATTCTTACTGAATGTACGAGGTTAAGTATTTCAATGGTTAAATATTTTTGGTTAGGAAATAACTTATTATTATTTGTCCCCTGGGTTCCTAGTGGAAAACACAGCTTCAGTAGCACGCCTCCATTGCACTCTCTTCTCCACAGTCTTTCCAACCTCCATCCACAACAGCCCACAAGATCTCATTTCTTCCTCACACCACCTCCTCCATGTCACAATCGGATGCCAAACTCATCGTTCACCCTTTGGATTCCAGTCGAGCAACTGGCTTACTGCGTGATGTCCTCGATCGGCCTTCTCAGTGTATGTCCAATCTAACCCATCTCCACTCCCTTCCACTGCATATTTGTTTGGCGATGGGTTCTTGGTTGGTTCGTCACCAGCCAGCCAGAGTTCCTTGTTGCTTATTCTTATTATTCTAGCCATCCGATCTTCAGTATGAAGTGAGCGTAGGCGGTAGCTGTTGATGAATGTCTGTAGATTGTTGGAAATGCTTTTCGTAACGTGCCAAGTCTCTGAATCACCACACACAAGCACTGACTTACTTGACTGAATTTGTGTTGAAAATCCGGATCCTGTTCTTGATGCTGAGTGCACTGCACTGCACTGCAGTGCAGTAGATCTCCACGCTGACTTCAGGTTGATGAGAGCCTGTCTTGCTGTATTTCCGATCCTGGCTTTGATATCCTCATCTGTGCATGTGCCGCCTGTAGTTGAGACGACGCTGCCTAGGTAGGTAGGTGAAAGAGGCTACTTTGTTTAGGTTTCTCTCATTGATGGGGATTTGTGCTTGTTGTTGTCGTTGTTGTTTTTGCTGTTGTTGGTTAGGTATCTTCATCACCTCCATCTTCTCTACATTCACTTGAAGTCCCATCTTCGCTGCTCCAACTCTTCTGCTAAGTGGCTGGTTTTCGCCTGTAGATCTTCGAGTTTGTGCGACACTAGACATAAATCATCATCCGCGAAATCCAAATCCTCTAGGGTTTTTTCATCGGTCCAGCGTATGCCTCTCTTCTCCTTCCTCACAGTTTGTTGCATAGTCTAGTCCACCACAACCAGGAAGATCATCGGTGATAGTAGCCAGCCTTGCCTTACTACTGTCTTCACTTCAAAGGTGTCACTGAGAGTTGCTGAGTTTTGGAAATACGTTTATCCAATGTTAACTCTTCATTGAGTTCTCAGTCTTCGTGGGACTGAAGGGTCAAGTCTTAATTAGGATTCACATAAGCTATTCAGGAAATAACTTGTGTGAATCCTAACTAAGACTTGACCCTTCAGTTCCATGAAGACTGGGAACTCAATGAAGAGTCAACATTAGACAAACGTATTTCCAAAACTCAGCGAGTTTAAAACAAAACTTCCAACGTTTAGAAAGAATATCAGCAAACTATACATAAACAGTGTAATTTTTTATATTTCCTTTGAAAAATCTGAGGTCAAGACTTAGAGACAAAAGCAAGAATCGGTTGTCCGTAAAGAACTGAAACATACAAAAATACTCTAGCTGTAGAACCAGTGGCAAAGACTGCGGCTGACTCTCAGAAAGACGAAGTGTCAACAGATGTCAGCATCTTTTCTGAATCAATGGACGCACACGAACACAATATTGCAGACTCCGAGCACAATGGTGATTTCAAGCGAATCAAATGCGACCTGACAAAGAGGCCATTCAATGACCGTGAGTAGTGGTGACTAACGAAGGTCGAAGAGATGTAAAAGGCAGCAATGATATGTCACAGTAGACAGCTATTTAGATTGGTCTAGATAAGTGGCGCAAGAAAGTCAGTGGTTAGCGAGTCAGTAGCGGGGAAGGATCGCTGTGCTATATATTGGTATACGTAACAAGTGAAAGTATATGTAGAAGACTTCGAAGTGCAGTTGAACTGGTATGCTTCCAACTAGTCTTTGGTTGCCCGATAATTGGCTGGGGATGTTGAGTGGAACACTGAGACAGGCCGTGGAAAGACTGCAGAAGTTGAAAGGACAGTAAGTAGTAATGTGAAACGAGGCAGAGTAGCAAGGCAGACGAGCTGTTAACAGAGGTATGTAAGGACGATAGTTTTGGCTTATTGGTTTGGTTAGTCAGACTGAGTGGTGTTAGCTGCTGGCGTATGCAAATGAGACGTGATCGCCTCTGACTAGTGTCAATTACTGATTTTCGCAATCTTGAAGAGAGGAGAGAACTCCTGACATGATAATCATAGGGGAATCGGTCTTATGAAGATAATGTCAAAGATCCTAGGTCATGTAATGACAAGGAGGAAGT